TGCATCCACCTCCGAAAGGCGAAACCACGCAGCCGAGCAAGGAGACCAGAATCTTACACCTAAATAGCCAAATCCAAACGAATAGAGCTCAACTATACTAACAAGAACCAAACAACTGAAACAAGCTAAAATCCAACCTAAATTCGATATCTAAAATCATGGTTTTCTTATTTGGTTATTACTTATTACATGTACTGATTTTTCTATTATTTTATTTTCGTAAAATGGTGGAGGTAGAGTGAGTTCAAAGTTGCGGTTATAAATTGGATTAAGAAGTTGTGAGTGTGACACTAAAAAAATGTTATCATAAACGCTAATTAAGGGATGAACTGTTGCGGAATAGTGGACCCTAAGCAAACTAACCTGTGCAATTAGAAAATGTTGTTTAGCAAAAAAAAATAAAATAGAAAATGTTAAAACCAGTGTAGTTACGATAATATAAATTAATTGGTCGGAGAGTTAGAAAACCTTAAGATAATTTTGTAGATATATATTTCTAAATCAAAATCGAATAGGCAAAGGAAATTGGGCTCCTTCTCTTGACTCTTGACATAAGTTGAACTCAAAACCCTTCTTCTCGTCTCAAGTCACAGACTCTCATATCATCACCATCATCAGATTGAAGATTTGCTTCGCTTCTTCTCGATGGCTTCGAGTACAAGGTTGTGTATTTAAAAAGGCATTCGTTTATAGTCCATATGATATTATATAATTTTAGAACCTTAATTTTTTGAAAGTTTATTATAGTATAGTGGTAAATATTAAAGTAAAAGAGTTTTTTTTTAGATTCTCATTTCAATGCCATTTCCATATTAAAATAAGAATTTATTTTTTTTTAGTAAATTTTTTTATTGGCACACTAACAATTAATTAAAACTAAATTATAACAATTTTTAAAAAAAAAAAATTTCCTCGGATCCCAAAAGACTGGGCACAACACTGTAAGAGTAGAGAGAGACGACAAACATTAAAGTCTTTTTGTATGATACCACTCATTTCCAAACACACATCATTAGAGTATAAAGACTTTGGAGGATTTTTTAGCATGATACTTTTCCTTGAATCCAAGGAGTATCATGATCTTATCATCAAAGTTTTCAGTCAAGTCTGGCTTGAGAAGTCATAAACTATACATTTACATTGGAGTAAAAACATGTGGAGTTTTTCTCGGATTTATGAACATTGAACAAAAACATTATTTCTCTCGTAAATTGTAGCTCCTTCCACCACAGATATTTTTACACCAAAAGTCATAAGATAGAACATTAAGTCATACGATAGAGCAATTAATTAGGGATTTTTACAAGGATTTGATAAAAATCATTATTTAACATCCTTGATCATATTTCATTAGTTAAAATACCTGTTCAACTTCAGTTAACATCTTTGATCATACTTCATCAGTCCAAATACTTCTTGATCTATGTGTCCTCTCAGCTTTGTTGAAACTGTCGTTGAAATAAAATCTAGATTGACAGTGATGACCTAGAAATTTGCTAGTTGAGTCAAATCGTGCATATTGTGTGTAAACAAAAAATTGAGAAAGTTTAGTTCTTCCTCTATTAGTTCAATTTTCCGTCGGGATTAAAGTGCGTCAGTGAAACCGTTTATGTG